CGCATGTCAAAGTGAATCATCGGGGTCGCATGGTCTTGGGGTCGCAGCGCCCTGGGGCCTTGGGACCGCGTGGAGGTTAGTGCGCGAGGGGCCTCGAGCTCTCGGGTTGACCGCGAGGGCTCGCGAAGGATTTCGGCGGGCGGGGGGTCGGCGCCATGGAGAGGGTGTGTGTGTGTGGGGGGGGGGGGGGGGGCGCCATGCAATATTGCGGGCTTGAAGTAGGGTGGGTGGGTGGGGGGGGGGCGGAGGAGTAAGCCGCGGCCTATATGATCCGTGGCGCACCGCCCAGAATGGGCCGTTCACCCCATCCGCTTGGGCCGTCCTTCGTGGCCCACAACAGAGAGGTCTGGTGGGATTGCCGGGCCGCTGCAGGGAATTGCAGGGCCGTTTGCAGGGCATGCAAGATGCTGCAGGATCGTTTGAAAGACTATTGCAGGGTCTTTGCATGGGCCCCCGCCGAGACTTCGTCGGGGCTTTCGCAGGGCGTTGCAAGGGGGCCCAGGGAACAGGGTTGGGAGAGGGTTTCATACGTCGGCCTCTACAACTTGGCTCCCGTCGCGGCCAAGGTCGTTGACTTGGACCGCGGCGGCCGGTGGAATAGCGCCAGATGGTGAACCGAGCTGCAAGCATCTGCGTCTGAGTACGCGAAGGTCGCCAACGAGGAGTGCCCGATCTTGCAGACGCCGCAGCCCAGCAGCAAGGACGAGGTGAGAGATCGCGCGGTAGACCAAGAGAGCGCGCATGTGCCGCTAGAGTACTGTCAGACGCATTGCCGGGTGAGCCCAGCGCAAGCAGGAGAGGGTCGACACGTCATTACGATTTGGTTCTTCCATTTCGAGAGCGGATCTTGCGGTTATGGTCCCGGAGGCTTCGCGTGGTGATATGCGCGATGATCGAGCTGGGATGCAACGTTGCTTCCATGCCGCGCCAGGTCGCGGCCGTCCAGCCGGGGCCGAGCGACGCGGGACGTTGCGGGGGGCGGCGCGGAAAAGGCAAGTACTGGGGCCGACCGAGGGGGACTTCGGAAGGTCAGGCGGAGTTGCTTTGGCATCGTGGGCTCTGTGGCGCAGGTGGTCAGCAGACGTCGGCTCTGCTGCGTGGACATAATCAAATGCGCCCTCGCCCATGACAGGTATGGCTCGGGTCCGCCGCGCGAGCGCCATCGGCGACTTCGGCGCGGCGGGCGCAGCGTGGCACCCAATCCTTGCTGGCTACAAACAGAGCCGCATCCTGATTAATGCGCCAGCTTTTGCTGCCGGGCGTTGGCACCTTTCCGCTGGGGGTCGACTTCAGGAGCGTGAGTTTCGTCTTGCAAGGTCGTGGAAGTGGGGCGCGTGGGCAAGTCGCGCTTCCAGGTTCCATCATATGGGTGCCATTTCTCGGGTGCTGTGATCTCGTGGGCCTGCAAATGGTGGGGCCCACTGGATGTTCGGTTCTCGTCTGCGCGATGGCTGGAAGACCGTGGCCATCTGTTCGTGGGCCCAGTCTCGGCGGAGCCGTCCAAGTTCGTCGTGGCCGGCGCTCTCGCAGCGTTTTTGCGTGCGTCGGAGGTTATTTGTTAAAGATTTCGAGGGCATGTGGACTTGTCGCGGCATTGGCCATGGGGATGATCGGTTTGTCGTTGGCCATCGCGGCGAAGGTAATCCCCGACACCGCCGATAAGATCAAGCTCGATTTTTTTGAGGTGCATGGCCGACCTCGGCGACGAGGCGCTGGAGCCCTCGCTGCAGGAGGGCGCCAGCCACCGAGGAGATGGGCGCGCGCAAAAACCTCCAGACACTGGTGCACGAGTAGATGACACACTCGAGGTGAAACCGATGGACGAAGCAGTTAAGGAAGCGGGCGATACCGCCAAAGGCAAAGGAACGGGCGAGGGCAGAGCTGAGGCCGCACACCTGCCGGCCGCGCCAGCCAAGAAATACCCGCCGGCTGTTGAGCTTCCGAAAGACCTTACCAGGGAGGCAGCCCTCGCCTGCCTGCTTCCCAGCAACGAGACCAGCTTGGGAGGGTTGGACCAGCGCTGGCGGCTGACCAGCAAGGGCAGGGATTTCACGTGGTCGCTCAAGCTTTACACGCCCAAGGGTGCGGTTATGATTATGATCGGGCTTGCGTGGCAGAGGGCAGTCGACTTGCATCAGGAGGAAAAGAAACACACAGACACAATTAATCCTCCATTCCCCAGAAAATATGGGAAAATATGGGATGTGGGGGGGAAGACAAAAACCTAGAAAATATAAGAAAAAATGGGGATTTGTTTTATTTGTGTGTATTTATTTGTGTGTTCCAGTTCCCCTTTCATTGCAGCGTGAGAACGCCTGCCCGTTTCGCGACTTCGAGGCGTGATTCATTCCGCTTGCGGCAGGCAGAAAACAAACGTTTTGCCCAGTGGAGATACGCATCGTGGCAATGCAAATGTAGCAGTTGGTAGCACCGTTGTAACAATCATCGTGGCAATTCTTCAGGTTTCGCGCATTGCCGCTATCCCATCCAGAAACGATGTCCGTGCGAGTTGCCTGGACAGGTTTCGGCAGGCACATTGTGAAGTAGGGGTGCCATCGCCTGTGAGGTGAAACGTTGGGGTTCTCTAGTGGCTATTTTGGTGTGTTCTTGGGGCTATCTGGGAGGCCTCCTGGGGGCGTCTTGGGATCTACGGATGGCCTCTTCAGGCAATCTTAGATGTCTTCTATTAGACGCACGCGGGGGTCCTAATTTAGCCCCCTTTTTCCGCAAGAGCCGTCACGATTGGCTCCTGGGGCGCTCTTGGGGCGCTTGGGCGCTCTTGTGTGCTCTCGCGGCCGTTTTGGATGCTCCTTGGGAGCTCTATCGGGGCTCCTCTTGGGCATTTCGGGTATATCGTGCGGCCTCGAAGTCTTACCGGAAGCGAAAGGTCGATAAGGCAGCACACTGGAACATTGGAAGTCATTAAGTTGTTGCAAGATATTGTTTTTGTTGGAGGGGGGATCCGTCGGGACGTCCGCGGGCAGTTGTGGTCGTTTCCTCCCCTTTGAGGTCCTCTTGGTGGCAAGATGAAGGCCCGCCTGAACGATCCTGAGCAGACTCGTATATTTGAATGCATCCAGCTGCCTGCGGCAAGTCTCGCCACCGTCTCAGTCGAGCATTCTCGCTGGCAGCTGTGCGAGGGCGGCAATGGAAGCTCCTCATGTGTTTTGGATCGAGCTTGGAAAGACGACATCCTGGATTTTTATGTTCAACTTCGGGCGGATGCAGAAACAGCTCAACAACCCATACAAGTCCTACATTTCTGCATTTTCCGGGCATTGCTGGAGGCTCTTTTGGAACCTTCTTGGACTCTCTTTGAGGCTTCCATATTGGGCCGTCTCGAGGCCATCTTGCGTCACCTTGGGGCCATATGATGCCGTCATGGAAACCATTTTGGGCGACATTGGCGGCCTTTGTGGTTTGGCAGGGCAATCTTGGAGGGCATCATGGGCATCTTGGCAGCGCTGGAGAGCACAAGTGACGCGTTTGGCCGCCGACAGAGCCCCCGACTGGAGGGGGCAATGCACGCGCCTGGTCCCTTAGAAGATTGCAGCAGCCCTGCCAGACAGCATTTGGCTGTCCAGCGCTCCTCCACGTGCTTACGGTGGCGGATTGGATGGCATCTTAGAGCATCGGAGGCCTTTCTAATGGAGCCAGACTGTGCCATCTTGGACGCGCCGATCGCTCGCGGCCCCCCCACCCACCCCGTCAAGACCCAGAGGGCGGGGGTGGAAGGAGGGTCGAAGGGGCAGAGGGGGATTGAAGAGTAAGCGCTCGAAACCACCACTGTCCAGATGGCTGGTGGTCTTACTGTCACCATTGTTGTGCTCGATATGTCGATATCCATGTGTACACGTTCAGGTGCACGGGGCACGTCGTGTGATTGTATATCCAAATGCCTGCGGCAAATCGATGTATGTCCAGATGCCTATGGCAAATCCGCTTCACAGCTTGAGGGGGCATTGGGGCGCCGCGAGGTCTCTGGAACTTTCCTGGGCCCATCTTGGGCTGAGGAGCCCGGGAGACAACACCGGGATGTCAGGAGTGCGGTTCGTTACGATTGGCTTCCCAGCGCCGTGTTGGATTGCTCTTGCGAGGTACATCGGGAGCGATTCGGGGCGCCATCAGGAGCCCGCCCCCCCCCTCCCCGGGAAACGCTGGGATGGCATCTGCTTTGCTCGAGGAGGTCCCCGGGTGCCTCAAAGCCGTCTTGGGGCGATCTTGGGCCGCCTTGGGGGGTGTCATCGGGGTTGCGGGAACTGCCTCGGAGGTGACCGCCACGCGGGGAGGTCTGGACAAGTGCGCGGCAGGAGCGGGGGGGGGATCCGTCCGCTCATGGCTGCAACGGCCCTATCACAACACGAAACGATCGCTCCAATGCGCCCCAGCGCGGCGTCGGCGCGTTGGCTGCGCGAAGCTGCGTGGCATCCGTGCTGTGCTAATTTGGTCGGGGTGGCGGCGCGAGAACAGACGCCATGGGGAGGCATGGTTTGCCGCTTCTTGGAGCTTGGTTTCGCATTCGTCGTTGTCCGAATGTGTCGCCGAGTTGCGGGTCGTCGGGTCCAGAGATGATAATCACGGCGGGCAGGCGGGCGCGTTTGGAACATTAACACGCATTTTCAATGGCGGCCAGCGCGCGGCACCGCTCAAACTGTGGCGCCTATAATGCAAACCAGCGTCAGTCCAAACGCGCGCGCGATAACACATGCATGACCCCCCCCGCAAAGATAGCGCGTTGTGATCTTAAGTCGCGAAGGTCCTCACATAGTGTTCCAAAAGTCTACACTTTGCGGCCCACGTATCGTTTATGGTTTCTTTCTCTGCCCAGGGGGAGGAGAACGACACGTTGGAGGAGGAGGAGGCGGAGGAGGAGGAGGAGGAGGAGGAATTGGAGGAGTACGGTCACGGGGATGGGGAGGAGGAGGAGGAGCAGGAACGGGCTCAGGAGCTTGAGAATCCGCCCACTTCACTCTGTTGAGGGCGTGGGTGGCCTGCATCAGGCAAGATCACGCTGGACGACCTCTGCCAGGAGCCGCTTCCTTGACCACCTCGGTGGACGGCGGCAGCCCCCCTCGGTACCCAGACATCCGCCGACATCATGTGAGACGGCCATCTTGGGCCTTTGGGGGGCCAGCGTCGGGCCCCATGTCGGTCTGACGGTGACCTGCAATAACATTGTTCCTGGGAAGGGGTCGCCAGTTTTTTGTTCCGTGGTCTGCAATTGTACAGGTGGCTTGATTGAGCTTGTCTGCCACCTCGTGAGACAAGCTCCCTCCTAGCAGAAAAGCCTGGTCCTCAGTAGTATGGCTGACCTTCTCGGCGTCGCTCTTTCACCCGTTCACTCTTCCTACCCATGTATTATTCATTCTCCCTCCCCACCCCTCTCTCCCGCCTGCGCTCCTGCTGCATCTGGGCATCTCCCTTCAGCCTGCTTCCTCATGCTTCATGCGCCCTTTCTCCCTCCACCAGTACCCCTTACCTCTTCCTTCCTGCCGTATCCATCCTCCTCACTCGTATTTGTTGCTCCGCCTCCTACCCCCCCTCTCCCCCGCACCATCCCTTCCTCCCGCATTATTCCCCTCAATCCTCCTCCTTCTCGTGTGTTGCGGCGGGCGCATGCGAACGCAGCTACTGCGGCCTTCGGTGCAGACCCCATATGGGGCCACGAAACGTGTGAGGGGTGTGCCTAAATGGAGCGGCGGGCGCATGCGAACGCAGCTACAGGGGCCTAAGTAGAACACCCTTTTATGGGGCCACGGAACATGTGAAGGGTATGCCGAAATGGGTGCGGCGGGCGCATGCGATCGCAGTCACAGGTGCCTTCGGTGGAGCCTCTCTATGGGGCCACGAAGAGCGCGAGGGTTCTACCGAAATGTTGATGATGTTCTTGTTGATGATGATGTTGATGACGATGATGATGACGATGATGATGATGATGATGCTGATGATGATGATGATGATGCTGGTGATGATGATTATGTTGTCATTTTGCTGCTGATGATGATTCTGATGATAATATTGATGGTGATGATGCTGACCATGATGATGATGATGATGATGATGGTGATGATGATGATGATGATGATGATGATGAAGATGATGATGATGATGATGTTGATGATGCAGACGGTGATGCTGATGATGATGATACGGATGATGATACGGATGATGATGCCGTCTCTCCAGAACGAGGACCTTACACCACAGGATCATGGTGATGACGATGATGACGATGGCGATGAGGAGAGCGGGCAAGGAGGGGGAGGAGGGGAGAGGGGGAGGAGAAGGAGGAGAGGAGAGGAGGTTGGAGATGCGTGGCGCTGTCTCGTCAAAACGAGGACCCAATACCACAGGATGGTTGGGAATGAATACTAACCCAAGAAGCTTGGTTTCAGTAGTCTTGTTGATCAGTGGGACAACGAGAAGAGATCGTTAGTCGCACATGATGGTTATGTCTACGACGGAATCTCAGCCGGAATATGATTGCCCTAAGTGCAGTACTGACTCTTGGGGAAACGAAGACATCCAGGAGTCTGTACAAACACGCATATTGCGTGGGCACGTAGTGAGGGTTGCTGAGGGTGGTGGCCATCGGCAAGCGACCGCGTTTCGGCTGGCAGGCAGCCGATTGGGAAAAGGGTGGCGCGATGATCCGCATGCCCCCGACTGAAGCGGCTGCTGCGCATCTGAAGCGCCATCTGAGCTCCGCACTGCCGCCGCCTGCGAGGCAACGAACCACACCGCCCGAAGCACCCGCTCGGCGCGATAGCCCCAGCCTTCTGCTGGCAACGGTAAGGGCGGAATAGCGTTGGCGAAGGATGGTGCTACGATTTCGCCAGCGAAAACCGGTGCCATCACCCAGGGGACCACCCCAAAAGTTACGGGCTGTGGGATGGGTGCCCCGTCGTTCCCCAGGGAGCCGGCCGCGCTGCGACTGTCGAGCCGTCCTCTTCGAACATTCGTCGGACGAAGGCCTTTGTACACGAGGCTACTCCAAAGATGGCGCAGCATGGGGGATGCGATTCGCAAGCTCGGGGCCCCCGATTGCGCCCGCATTCTGCGGACCGCTCGGACCGCTCCAGGGCACAGTCGAGAGGGCAGGCGGTGGCCTCGAGCTCAGGATCTCCTGCAGTCGCGCCCCGACCCACGCGGCGCGTTCATTTGTCAGGCGAATCGGAACGCCCGCGGGAGAATCAGCCACCTCCGTTCAGGGAGGGTGATGGTGGGAGCCGCGATTGGCATGAGATGAGTAACTATAGCAGCGACAGGTGGAATCGCGGCAGCGCTAGCCGTTGCTAGCGTTGGCGAAAGTTGAGGCCACCAATCGATTTACATTGCTGTCGTTCTCTCTCGCTCGCCTTCCGCGCGGCCGCGGAACCATGGTTTCAAGCCTGTCGGCCTCCGCGTCTGGAAGAGCTTCAAAATTTTCATCATTGCGAAGCTGATGTTTTTTGTCTGACTTAATGTTGGAGCAGACCACGGCCGCCCCTGTCCCGAAGGGAGAGGAGCGTCTACCCAACTCCTCGAAACTTTGCACTCCTTCTGTTTTGGGTCCTGGTTGTCCTCCACTTTTCTTGGATGGGGCACTGGGGCAAATTCGATCCTAAGACCCCCCTGCTCGGGATTTTTCGGCGGGGGGGGTCCCTTGATACTGGCGCGCATTTAACTTTTATCAGCAGCCCCGCTGGGTTTCGGGGGCCCTTGGAGTACGTCTGGGCCTCCCCCGTTCCTTCTCTTGCCTTCCCTCTTCAGGCTTCGATCGTTTCGATCGGCGCCCGTGACCATCTTTTGAGTTCGCGAGGAGAAATGGGAAGAAGGGGTTGCGAGGCCGCGCGCGCGCGCCTCCTCCTGCTCATCCCCCGTCGTTGTCGTCGTCGTCGTCGAGCTTGATTGGAAGCGGCTAATATATGGTTACTCCTAAAGGAACGCGGCCGGCCTCGCAGGCGAGTCGAGGCCTATCTAATAACGGGGTTGTTTGGTTATAGTTCCGTTCTATCCCCATCTTCACTGCCACGCTTCAGCGTGCCAGGGGGAAGGGTGACGGGTATTCCACGATGCCAGCCAGTCGGTCGCAGCAATGCAAGATCAAATGCTCCAGCGCGGAGTCCAGGATGGCCAAGTGTGGAGCGCATTGTTTCAGAATTCGACAGGACAGCAGGACAGCTTCTCCAGGCCAGTGCCTTCATCCCCCCCTACATTGCGTAAGGTGCGCAAGTGAGAGCGGGCCCATCGAATGAGCGTTGGGCATCTGTGAAAACCTCCGGCGGAAATCCAGTTTTCAGATGCATTTGCAAATCGATCCGCTTTCGCGTCGAAAGACAGATCCCGCGGCGCTCTTTTAATCGGCGGCGCCAGCGGACGCGGGGAAGCCCACGACGCCCCTCGAGTGGTCAGCGGAGTATTGGTTGACCCCGCGCCGACAGGAAAGCGCCCACAATCGCACAATACCAACCATGGCCGCACGTTCGGCATGCGCTGCCGAGCTCGTGCGTCGCGCACCTCTCACTGGTCTAGAGTGCCTGCAGAGCACCTGTTCCGTCGACGCTCGACTTTCGGGGCCCCAGGGCGCTTCAAATCATCATCACCATCATCATCAGCAGCAGCAGCAACATCATCATCATCATCATCATCATCATCATCAGCAGCAGCAGCAGCATCATCAGCAGCATCATCATCATGAGAACCATCCCACGAACACCGCGACAGGGTGAGTTAGCCTTCCTAGTGTCGTCCCTTTAGGTGGGGATCGGCGCTGCGAAACTCGAAGGAAAAGGCACCCACCCTTGCCCTCATGGGGTAGGTCGGCCAGGGGGGCCACGGTCGCTTTGGAGGGGGCGGGGATTGCCTTGCCTGTCGAGCGATGAACCAGGGCGGCAAGCCGCGTGCCGGAGCTGCGGCGGCGCGGCGCTGGCGCCCGCAGCGGCGGGCGCCAGTGCCGGCGGGGCGGCGGCCAAGGCGCGCCAGGCTCTTTTGTTGCGGCGCCAGCCGGCCGCGGGCAGGGCGCTCCAGGGCGGACGACGCTGGGGCAGAGGACGGGCGGCGGCTCCGCCGTCGGAAGACAGATGTGTGTTTCGTTCGCCGCCCAGACTTTGCCGAACGCGGCGTCGCGGCGATTGCCCGGCGGGCGCGAGCAAGAGGGGGCCTAGGAGCAGGAGGGGGTTCAGGAGGCCTAGGAGGAGGGCGGGGTGTGAGCAGGGGTCGGCGTCGCTGTGGTAGCAGACAGAGAATGGGGGCTTAGGGGGAGGAGGAGGAACAGGAGGAGGAGGAGGAGGAGGAGGAGGAGGAGGAGGAACAGGAGGAGGAGGAGCAGCAGGAGGAGGAGCAGGAAGAGGAGGGGGAGGAGGAGGACCATGAGGAGGAGCAGCAGGAGGACCAGGAGCAGCAGGAGGAACAGCAGGAGGAGCATCAGGAGGAGCAGCAGGAGGAAGGAGGAGGGACTGGGGGCGGGAGGCGGGAGGAGGAGAAGGAGGAGGAAGAGGATGAGGAGGAGGAGGAACGACAGTAAACCCAAAATGTACCGTCGGTGCTGCAATACAGCCTGCTGTCTCAAGTCCAGTCCCTACCTGTGCGATGCGAACGGTGATCGCCACATGGGCCCGCAATTCAAGCGGGAGCTCCGTTCTGATTTAAACCACCTTCCATCCTTCTAGCTTTAAGGAATGCGACACTGCTGTGTTTCAATATTCAGGGGCTTGCCCAGCGAAATCTCCGCTTGGAAAAGGAACCTCTTTGGACTCGTAAAGCTGCGACGCATGTTCTACAATGGTTCATACACTATGAGGAAGACTCAAACGAAACATAACAACCACTTCGAAAAGGAACCGCATTTCGAAGACTGACCGTCCTCCATCCGTGCGCACGTTGCAAGTTTTCAAAACGTATGCGCGCGGTGCAAAGACGAGAACCACAAGTCTTGAGCGAATGTCCGGCGACGCGACAGTGCGGATTTATACAGGAGAAGGAGGAGGAGCGTGCAGGAAGAGGAAGAGGATGCAGGAAGAAGAGGATGCATGAGAAGGAGGAGGAAGAGGAGGATGCCGGAGA